TTGCAGCGCTTCGTGCTGCGCTGCGTTTCATTAACGACCAAAGCACGCAACGGTGGAAGATTTTCTGCGGTTGCAAGGCGGCACTGCAGTCACTTCTGTCAAATCTACGCCGTGCTCTACACGAGCGGTTGGTATTTGAAACAGCAGAAATGCTACACCATATAACAGAGAAATGGCACCACGTTATATTTCAGTCGTTTCCAAGCCACAGTGGAATTCGCGGTAACGAACGAGCTGATCAACCTGCCCGTTCAGCCCATACAGAAGACAACAACCAGTCAATACCTCTCTCAAGGAAGGACGCTGCTAGGAGGCTCCACATGCTTGCTCGTCAACGCTCCATGGCTCTTTGGAATGAGCCTCTCTTTACGCACGCAAGGTTACGATCCCTTGATCTAACGTTAAGCTTACGGCTTCCAAAAAAAAAAAACGACGAGGTGACGCTACTGCTCTGTGCAGGCTATGGCTGGGATTCGCGTTTACCCATGCGTATGCGTTCCGCATAGGGATGGCCGACACCACCGACTGTTCACACAGCGGAGATGAAGAAAGAATTCGACATATCCTGTGTGACTGCCCGGAATACAACCTGGAAAGACAACACCCTTGTAATACACTAAACAGGTTAGATGACCAGCCGCTGTCAGAAGAAAGAATACTGCGCCATCGTCATGACTGATCGTCACAGAAGAAAGCCGTGCAAGCGCTACTGGGCTTCTTGCGAACTACTGGCGTGTCGGAATGCATCTGAGTGGACTGATTTTGTGTGTGCGTGTGTGTCAGTGTTTTTCTCCTATTTATTTTTTAAGTCTATTTTTCTCTTTCAACCCCCTCTTCCTCAGCTCCAATGTAGGGTAGCATACCAGATACTAGCATCTGGTTACCCTCCCTGCCTTCCTTTTTTCTTGTTTCTCTCTCTCTCTCTCTCTCTCTCTCTACATCAAGATACTTTTGGCCTTTATTGAATTCAATCTACCAAAGTAGTTCAGACTATCGAATGCAGAAGAGCACTTTTGCAATAATTTCGAATACATGCATAGTTTAACCTCCATCCATATTGCACAGTGCGTGAGGTCCCAGCATTTTGCTTCCATTGAGGCACATTGCTAGAAGTCTTCCACCAACAATGTGCCTACAAAAGCACAGGAATCATACGTTCAATGTAGACTACACTATACTCTTTAAAAGTGGTGCTTGAATATTACGTGCAACAATGGAAAGCATGCTTACAGGCCCAATTTAATTGAAATAGAAAAGAACACGCACCACCAAATAAGAAAAAAAAGCGAAAGACAGCAGAGATCGGTCTTCCATCATCTGTTGTTCTGCATTTTTTGTTTCCTAATGGTACACGTGTTCTGTATTCTACTAAGCGTGTGCCAAATAACCCGAAAGAGTTTCATTACCTAGAGACCTAGTCTGAAGCTGTGTTGCCACGAAGCATTCTCTCTGGGAATCTAATTATCACGTATGATAGTGGTTTTTTTTTATCACGAAGGCCATCAGAGCATTCGTGCATTATTTTCGGCCAGTGTACTTTGCCCTGGATTCCTGCGGACGATTCAGAAGGGTAATCTTCTTTGGTTGATAGCTGATTTTAACTTTCAATTCAAGGTTACGGATCTTTTAGCAGCTCGCCGTAAACACAGCTCTTGATTGCAGTTGTGTCGGGCACTGCTGGACAAATATTTACTTAGCAGTTAAAACGAAGCCAGCTTATCCTAACCAGTTCGCAAAGTTGCTAGATCGATACACAGCTCTATACCTACAGAATGGACCCGGTAATACTAACATGGGCGTTTAAAAGGAGCAAAAATAAATTGGCTTTTAATGTGTTCTTTCATGATTGTTTGAACAATTCTTTTGTGTCCCACTTCCTAAAGCTGTGCAAAACATCTACCACGTGCAGCTTGTTTTGGAAAGACATTATATCTGTGAATGTGTTAAAACTTAAAAAATACCGAGCTACAGACGTCGGACAGAGTGGTGTTTTGAGAGACAACAGAAACAGCGGAGCTTGCACTAACTCTCGCGAAGCTTGGGCGCAACAGAGAAAGTGGGCTACTTACCTAGCCTGAATTAGATACGTTTCTACATTCAGACCTCTGCTTCTCCAAACACTTGCTGTACTATACAATAAATGACTAGGCTTTCGGTCTTTTAAACTCTTTTTGTGTCTGTTTTTCCTGCCTGTTTTTCTCTATGTTGTCCATCAGCCTTTATCTGTTTTTGGAACAGTGGAAAATTTGTTTTTTGTTATAATTTACTAAAACGAACGCAGCCGGATATAGAGTTTGTAAATAAATGCAGGGGCTGTTGTTGTAGGGGCATTGTATGAAGCCCTTCATGCTAAAATATTTATAGTCGACGAATCCAGTGTCTAATATACTGTCATCAGCATGACATTCACCAAAATAATAATTCTGCAACAGTTTCATTTCTACGCCTCAGTTTTGTTCAGTAGATAATAATGAATTATTGCCTTTAAACTGAAGTAAGCGCAGTTTTTTCACTTGTGGGTAATAAACATCTCGAAGGCTCTAGTTGCTACTGCGTTTGATAAACATTGCTGCAATTTTTGCCCGTTAAAAGTAACGGTAACTTTTCTTAATTGAAATGATTTACTACTGCATTCAACTGAATCGCTTTGGTAATGGTGGGTGTTTTAGAAAACAATTTTTAACTATTTAAAATCGGTTTGAAATATACTCGATTTTTATGGGCAGTTTATTTGGTTCTGAAATGCACTGTTTCTAAACCATACCAATTTTTGATCCAGAAATCGGTCGCAACGTTGCCGGTGCCGCGGAATTTGCACAGATTGTGTGGCTGAGCCAATGTGACTGACTGTGCACAGCGTTGTTGAACTGACATTTCCGCCAGTTAATATGGAGCGGGCCTTGACACGTGTGAGAGTCGCAAATATTTTATGAGATATTGGAGGTATCAAAATTATGATTAGAGTACACACAGTATATGAGAGGTCAGACAAGTTATGAAGATTGTACTAATGCTCACTCCTAAATGTTTCGTTGTTATGGTGCCACCTTTAGTAACCTGGGGCCTTATCGTTGTGTCACTCCTATGAAGGTCCTTTGCTCTGTCAGTGTTATGAAAGTGCCAATACGCCGCAGATGCTTTTTGGCTAAGACCGACTATAGGTGTGCGCACTGGGCAGGGGGAGGGGGGTCAAGAGGGGGCGCAAAGCCTGCTTCTTATATTGACAATATAGGAAGGGGGCGCTGCGACGAGCCTTCATCCCCCTTGAAAGAGAACTCTGCGCATGCTTAGGCCAAACACGACCTTAGAAAGGCCATGGTGCGCTACCACTTAATGCACTGGCAGAAGTGAGTGAACCATACTCGGGGACAACTTTCTGGGGCAATGAAGGGAAAGCTCTGTGGGCAGCGCTACTGTGCTTGTACTCCTCCGCGAAGTAGTCCGGTTCAGCTCACGTTTGGAATGACAGCCATTATCAAGTAATTCCGCTGCACACAATTAGATACATCCGCTCACTTGTGAGTGAAATACAGTACAAGCTCCTTCGGCGTGTCGTCCGATTATCTGAAGGGCGACTCGCACTCACCTAAAGACCAAGACAGGATTTCGATCATGAGGTGAACGTAAAAGGTCGGACGTTTTTAGGCGCACAAAAACGCGAAACGACTGTTTAGAAAGCAACAACAAATAATGATGCCTCCTTGGTGCATGTACCATCTCTTTATAAACAGCATCTAGTAGAAGATAATGTTGTTATTTTTTACCAATTTAACGCGAAAAACACGAACGCATTTGTAGCACTTTTATTCTACAGTGGTGGCACATGCCCACCTTGGCTCTGTAGCCTTTCCTTCATTGGCTCAGAACGTTATCGCTGACGATATCTGTTTTATTTGCGACGCCCCGCTACATGGTAAAATACCCTTATTTGAGAAGGAAAAGACAAAGTAATTATTCTAGCGCGGACAAATGAAACATCCCAAAAATAAAGCACGCTCCTAAGTAACAGAGAAGTCTATTTGGGCTCAGACTTCGAGACAGCCACACGATGTGTACAGTTTCAAAGCTTCATTATAATGTTGATGTTCACCAATGTCGCTATTATCTTTTCTATCATTTCTTCGCTGCCATGATGCTGTGTGTCGAATGATAGGGCCGTAAGTTAATTATTTAGGAAACGAAACCATTAGGTGGCATCCAACTTCACAATCATGCCTTTACATGTGGCGCAGTCTTTGTGCGTAAATAATTGTGTCCATTCATTTTCTACCCCACCTGGCTATTTTGTAGGGATGAAATGTCATTGATGGGAAGCGTGTCAGCTGCTTCACGTGCCGGTACGGTGTCATCAAACGGCGATGCTACCGTGCTCAGGTAACTGCCCTAAACGCTGAACTCCTCGCTGGTAACTTTGGATGAGCTGGTAGAGCTGTTTTCTCGTCGGGAAACATCGTTAGTCCAGTTGTTCACGTGACAGAAAAATAAGCTGAGAATATGTTGGCGTGAAGTGTACTTAACGACGTCCAATATTTTACACTAAATAAAGCAGTTCCCTATTAACCTTTTGGTCTGCACACTTTGTTTATAGTTTATTAGAAATTATTTACCAGTCTCTCGGCTGAATGAGCCACGCTAGGTGTTACAAGACCAATAATGCTATTTAAAAATCACATCAGTTCAGTATGGTCACGTATGTACCCGTGTTTCCATGTAATGGTAAAAAAACGGCACATTGATCAATATATGGATGAGTTCTTAAAAAAATTATATAAGCAAAGTTAGAGCTAGAATTCACGAACGATAAATAACAACACAAGTGAGCTTTCTTTCGGAAAGCGTGTGCATCATAAGTAAATTGTCAGTGAGCGATCGTAGAAGATTGAATTGGCTGTAGAAAGCGGAGAGGCACATATACTGCCAAAACGTTTGTCAAAATATATATTCCCGTTAACCACGCACGTCATGCTGTAACTATAGGTGAATCCTGTATGACTACCAACCTGTGTGATGTCTGGTGCCTGAAGCCCAGGAAGGTGAAGAAGGTTATGACATTTTATAAAAATAGTTAGAGCTGAAACTGTAAGCGCTACTAGAATATCGTACCTTGTCATCTTCGCGGTACAATAAATAATAAATCCTTGCGCGCTTAAGTAGCTGCTTAGTAAGGCGCAACCAGTTGTTACAGTGCTTTCATATATCTTTTGTAATGAATATTTTTTTCTTACAAAATCTCGAAAGAATACAATGCCTATTCAATATACAAGGCACGGCTCATTCGTTTGCCTTCTGCTCACTTGTGTTATATTGGTGAAATCAAATGATGAGTTTATGCTAGGCGGAATAGCTGACTGCACATATACTACAATAAATGAAGCTTTAGTAGTCGTGATTACATTATATGGAGGTATTATGAGCACTCATTTGAGAGTTTGTGACACCCGCGGCCAGGGTTCGATACCGCGACCTGTGGGCCAGCAGCCGAGTACCTTAGCCACTAGACCACAGCGGCAACGACAGGCAATAAAACATTTTAAAAAGGACAACCAGGTGCATATATTGCGCATTGTGCAACGAGTGGGTCGTCGAATGCTCTAACGCTTTACAAAAGTTTATTCTTGTTCAACTATTAACTTTTGCGCATACCCACTGTGGGGACTGGCGTGGATTACAAAAACTTCTGGTATAATTTTCTTCGTTGTCAGCCACATCACACACAAAAAATGAACAATTTTTCTTGCAGGTATGCTGCGAGTACCACGCTTCTCCGAAGAATCACGAAGGATGGCATAGTGGATGCCTGCCTACTAAGTAATGATTATTAACGTACCCTGCAGTTATGCTTGCAGCAGGCTTTTAACACTATTAGGGCAACTGCTATAGGGCCACTTGCAAGGTAATCACTACGCCATAAATCATCATAACTTTTATGTAATGGAAAGACATTCACTAAGCCATCCTTTCAAGAAACGCGGTACCCGCTACACACTTGCAAGAAATTTGGTGCATTTTTTATGCTGTGGCTGACGACCTTAAAGAATTATGCCAGAGCCTCTACCAATAGGTGGGAACAATGGGTGACAAGGTCGATAAGCAATTCACAATGTTTGATGCCGAATTGTTCCTTGGCTATCCTAAAACGTTTTACAACTCATATTAACACAATTCCCTTCGCGACATCAAAACTACCTACGGTTAGTTAGCAACATAGTTTCAAGCACCGGCAAAGCACAGTGGTTTAACACTGGATTGGCACGCAGGAGACCCGAGTTGGAATTCCATCATAACCCTGGTGTTTTTAATCTCTTAGTTTTTTTCCCCTTTCGCGTGATAGTGATTACGGACACTGGTGGTGGTGTGGGTAGCGGTGCTGGTGGTGGCGGACAACTATAGCGCAAGAGATCCTTGTGATCTCAAACAGCTTTCGCTATATTATATGTTCTGCACAAAGTGATTGTCGCACTTTTACAAACTGCTGCACCGAATTCTGTGTGCCCTCTCTTAGTCGATTTTTTTCTCAACTCCCTACTGATTAGCACAATTCCTCACTACAGTTAAAAATCCTGCGATGATGTATATGTAAGATGCCCTTCTTGGGTACAAGTCAACCATAAATACGCTCTAGCATGAAAATGAAACACGCTGCTCACACAGCACGAAAAATACAAGAGACGATGATGCACCAGAGAAGAACAGTGTTCCTGTCCCTTGTCTCAGTTGCTGTGTGCCTCTTATCGCTATGAACCAAGTTGCCAAGATGAAAGCCATCATTCCGAAGTTGCCCCCTGACCTCAATAATGATACTTTTCACAGTCCAAATACAATTACCATGTAAAAACTTTTACCATTGCAGCATATTTAATCAATAACATTTGTAAAATAATACAGCAACATATCAGATTTAACTACGTGGGGTTCACTGTCTTTTCTAAAAAATGGCTGCTGGTTGATGTCGGAGTATCTAAAAAAAATTGATCGTAAAAAAATGACAGCTTTAAAGTGTTACTGTGCAAACCACCAGGAATGCTTTTAGCTACACGCACGCAGTGCGTGTTGAGAACAACCACCGAGCTCCGCCTGCTGGGAATCACGAACACTGCGGTAGCCAACGACAGGCAATCTTGTTGTTGCGCTTGTCACGCTATCATGTTTTGAGTGCCCGCGCCATGCTGTCTACGTGCACGAGAAATGCAGGCAACGAATCGAGTCTCTAACATGTCCGGGAAGCCAGCGCGTGGTCACTATGTTTTGCGCATGTGCACTGCTTACACGTAGAAGATCGACGCATGCGAAGCCTCGACGTACGTGAAACTAAAACGGTCTATTATGTTAAAACCAAATTTACAACAGATTCCGCACACCAATTTCGGAGTCGTTCCACGGTCAAATTGTATCGGCCGCAAAACAAGGAACGAAAATTGTTGAAACCTTATTGCCACAGGGCTCAAGGGCCGCCGACGATTGAAGCGCGATAATAAGTGAAAAGGGTACAAATAATAGAAACACAAAAAAAGAATGAAATTTTTCCCGATAGTTGTAACGTTAAAAGTGCCGAAGTTAGCTCTAATTTTTTTTTGCAATTTGTCTTACACTTAGCTAGGTAGTTGATTGCTTCATTTTATAATACAGTCCCTTTGATGGCGGGTGTATCCACTCAATCTGCTATAAGGGCTTGCGATTAGTTTGGCGCAAAGGCAGATCAATGACCCATCAGTCAATTTTGCGTGGTGGGTTGTGTACCCTTGTTTGCTGCTTTTCTTATGACCTGTTCACTGGCGTGACGTTTCAGAGCTGAACTATTTCACAAAATGTGTAGATAGACGTTCCTGTGACTGTTGACTGCTTCTGCTGGCGCACGGCTGGCGTGCCTTCACTTTTTGTGCAGGTGAATGCGCCACGCGAAGCGGTGAAAAGTTATAAGGTTCTTAGAGTGATATTCTCAAGGATGCTTACTCACTTCCATAGTTTTACACGATAGGATAACGTGGGTTTTCTTACTTTTGACCTATTGGGCTCGTGAACAAATGTATTACAATTTCTCCTTGTCCAAAGTTTTTGGTGTACACTGAAGTACACAATTGAGGTAATCAAGCAACCTTTCTTCGTCAATCTTTCTTTTTAGTATTTTCCTTTTCTCTAGTTCACGCATATTCCTAACTATAAAGACGCAATGAGATCGCGTATATATAGGCACCTAAATAAGGCACGCTTATTTAAAGGCACGTACTAAAAGAAACTTAAGAGATCAGCAGTTTAGGAAAAATTCAAGTTCTCGCCATGAAGACAAGTGCGCACGTGACGTCTATACTAATTCCTGTCTTGAAATTATATATTCTTTGTCTTTTCGTTCTAGTAATCCCCTCCCCGCCATACGTAGGTGTCGACGGTGACAACAAGGCGCTGACTATTAGATAGAGGGGCATATGTGAAAGTTACACTATCAGTTTCCATATACCTTGCTTTCCTCGCTAACCCTGGACCCGGTGGACGACACGCAGTGCACACGCGCACTCCTCGCAACATACCGCCAGCAACATCTCTTCCGAGGCCGTTTAATGTGCTGGCTTATGAAGCATGCGCGCATGACGGCACATGCATGCACAGTGGCACGAATGGTTCTTTATCAACACCGCTGTGGGTGAGGGTGCGAGTTGATCGAAGATTGCCACAACTATTAGAATGCCGAATTCGAGCTGTGTATTTCTATTACAAAACTGTAGAATGTCCTAACTATACTGGATACCTGTTAAAGCGGCGACCGACGATCACGCACTGTATAGGCTGGCAAACATCCCGCTCTGTAAAGCGGCGAGTACTGCTACAGTCGGCAGTATAATCTGAACCATAATGATACACGTGATCTTTATGCATTATAGATAAAGCGTATCGCTAGTATTTGCTTTAGTTTGTCAATAAACTCGAATATTCGTGCTATACGCGCCATCTCACTGAAGCTGCCTGAAGCATGCAGTCTGGAGATATCGCGAAAACTGAGGGAAGGCTTGCGTCGTGTGGTGGTAACAGCTTTTTGTAAGTGAAGCTCAATCACATAACAATAAGCAAAGCAGCGTGAGTGACAATACTTTCTTCGATGAAGCATCATCCCGATGGTGTGAACGAAGACAAACGTGAAAAAATTGTCTTCTTTGAATTTCGAAAAACGCAATATGAAATTAGAAATAATTTTCTATAACTTTGTTAGCTTGCATATAGTACGAACGAGAAAGCACCCCTTGAATGACCTCGGAGCACGGGCAGTGCCGCTGTGCGTTCGATATGCTTTTTGAAGCAACGTCGCACTCTTATGTGCCCAGACGTCGAAGTACTCTTTACGGTCCAAAGTATCGCCTAAGTTTCTGGATCTGTCCACTCTGACGCGCTGGCGTTTAAACACAAACATGGTCTACGGGATTGTAATGTACGAATCATTGTCAGATATCATAGTGATGGCAGTCAGGAGTATTCTCGCGGCCATCATATACAAACGGCTGACCTATTGGGCTTCATCGGCTCATTCTGGATAAGAGAAAAAATCAAGGTTGTCTTAACCTGTGACTCTTGGTTACATGGTGTCAAGCGTCCTTGCAGCGTTCTTTCCGTATAAACTAGCCTGAAATGTACCATCTGTTCTTTCCTGTACCACCGTATAGTAGGCGAACGTTGCATGCAAGAAACAGTGTCCTGCTTCTTTTATTTAACGTCTAAATAGAGTACGGCTCACTCTTACAAGAAACACAAGCAGTGGTGGTTTTCGGCTTTTTGAATTGACTAGGAGAATGCAGCTTCACAGAAGTATTCATCGAGTACAAGCATATTTAGCCGTTTATTTGTCTGCTGCACTCCGTTATTAGTCACTCAGTCAGTCAACAAGCTTTATTAATGTCCTAAGGAACTACAGTGTCATAGTTACAGGTGCCACCCCCGTGTGGATAAAGGGTGTGTAATGACTTTGTTGGCCAGGCTATACAAAAATCGCAATTCCCGGATAAATAATAGATGGCTGTACCTCTCGTACTTGTGTCATGCTAAAATGTTTTATCTCACAATTGCTGAGAAATGACAAGCTACAGGTTTTCCGAACAATTTTATTCAAAGCTAATAGCATGCGAAAGCTGCAAGTGCGCTTCCTTATGTTAAAGTTTTGTTAATTCAAAAAGACCCATTTATCACTTCAGATGTGGTCGCCATTACCAACGGGACCTCTGTCTCTCATTTACAGACAACTTTACTTGTAGTGCAGGTGGGCGCATATGCGTCTACATAGTTGTTTTCAGCTTTCTTCCTGAATAACGAAATACATTTTGCATTGAACGGCCTATCGTATGAATCGCGCACGCGCAACTCGTAGATTGCACCTGCAAAATAAATAAAAATTCAGACATTTTATGCAAATTCACGGACAATCGCGAAACTGACGACTATTTCAAGAATTATACTTTATTAGAGCATTACAGGAATTCATCGAAATAACAAAAATGGGACGTTACCAATTCGTCCAGCTTACATATTTCAAGTCTCTTTTTTTTTGTTCAGCAGGGCGGGTGCGCATACGTGTACGAGCAGTACAAGCTAGTAAATCCCCGCTGCATCAGCAACTATATTTGAACATCGTTCAAATAAATAAGTCAGTGCAAACATTGCTACGCATGCGGTTCCCCTTAGCGGCATCATGTCATTGGTGCACCCAGCTATGTTAGTAACGCACTGTGACAAATTATTCTGTGCATTTAGTCGACCCAACAAGAGCGAGATGATTGGAATGCACGCAGCCTATATACGTCCGGCCAAAATGCTATCTTTATCTCACCAGCACGGACGCACATACGCGTGCAAGTAATAAAAGCGAGTCAATATTGGTTACAATAACGACAAAAGTATCACAATCATTTTGCGAAACCTGTAGGAATCGTAGAAGATAAACGCCGAGTTAAATACTAGCAAGCCGTGAGAGCGAATGTTTGTTATTATTGTTCGTCTTTCATTATTTCAAAATATTTACTTAAACTGTTGTATTGATCGATTACGGCGACCCCCTCTCCTAACACGGCGTAGTGGCTGAAGCACTTGAGTGTGAGGCAGATGATGCCAAGATGAAGAAGTAGAGAACCAATCTCCGTTTCCCACTACAGTACTTAAGTAAAATGAGCTTGGAGCTGGTGGCAGCGCCGCCTCTAAGAGTTAGAAGTGAACTCGCCGAGTTGCTATCGCCGTCATGTTCCGGATATGAGGAGGCGTCTATGCATACATAAAAGGTACAAAGAAAAAGAAATTAAAAAAACTCAAGGCAGCCACCAGAGATCCGAACCAGCGACGCTTTGCTGCCCAGCGGGCTGCAGTAACCAACTATGCCAGCTGTTTTCAATCAAACAAACAAAAGTACAATCACAGGGAGACAACAAGCACTCAAGCATTACAGATGAACACTTAACGGCTAAGACAGCATGAGTTCTTAGCATCGGGAGCTCTTACATCTTGTTTTACAAACAAGAAAGGGGTGAGGCGAAACATCTCTCTAAGATAGAGTACCAGTACGGTGTAAAGCCTACACTGTAAGCAAAAACTATCCGAGTTTGGGGTTTTTGCGGCTCATGACCTCTGAAAACTCTCTCGGGTTAAAAATTACTACCTCGTGTAGGAGTAAAAGATGGTACATGACATAGTTTTACCACCACCTCTCAGGCAAGTAGTAAAAGGGTGTCAAAATCCAGTTTTACCACGTAGGGAGTTTTCTATCACGTGATTTTTAACCTGCGTTTCAGAGTTTATTACCACGTGACTGCAAGGTGCGGCTGCTTCGGCGGCTTTTGCCCCATACCCCCCATTGTGACGCTCTCAGTGAATCATGAAGGTACGCGATGACCACTGTTTTTTTTTTTTTGGTATCGCCGTGCCTCAGGACTGACCTCGAGTCAACGCACTTTCACTGGAACTGGGGGCAGCATAAGCACAACAAGCGAGAACAGCATTCTGTGAACGGAAAAGAAAAAAAAAGACGGGGGGGGGGATCTCAAAAGAAGGAAAAAAAAGAAAGAAAACCTGCTGTGGAAAGTTGTGCTGCATATTCTCGCAAATTGTTGGCTTTTCTTCGGTGGTGGCCTTGGAGACAGACGGTGCAAGAAGCTCGGTATCTGTGTGTCTCGTTGGGCTGATGAATCTCGCGTGTTTCCTACATCATCGAGCGATTGTGCGCTTCCGAGCGCCTCCGAACCTGCACGTCACGGATATCTCGCTTCCGAGCCGAATCGCGAACATCTGCCAGTGGTAACAAAATCAATCTGGTGTCATCGTCCATGCTTGCCTACTGGAGAAGCAATAAACAAAATGCTTCACTCTGTCGTTGGCACTGAGCCGCGGCCGCCAGTGACCAGTGGGAGTGTGTCGCCGGGACAGGTGAAAGAAGCATCGCATATATTTTGTTGCACAGTAGGCGATTTCTGCATGAGTAAAGTGCTGCCCGAATCACCCACCTCATGCACCAACTGTTCTCAAAGAAGTAGCGCGAAGCCGATGCGAGGCAGACGGAACCAACAAGTGGCTGCCGGTGAGCACGAAGAAAACCTGGACGGTGGTCTTTCGTTGGAAGTATGCATACACCACCCCGTCCCTGTAAGATAGCGGTCACGTGTTCATTTGTGTCTGAAATGACGACGAAATTCGCACAAAATGTGTGTTCTGCGATCGCCAGCTGTGTTTCATTGGATAGCCGTGTGCAGCTTGTGTGCAGGCGTGCACCGCTCCTCTACGCCCGTTGTGATGAATACGTGCTGCTACTGTGTTTGTGCATCGTCACTCAATGAAAATCATTGAGCTACTATGGTTTGTGCGTAATTAGATATATTTTATGGACTTGTGCATCAGCAGTGCTAGCACGCGTGGGGCCATGAGCCCGGTTTGCCAAGTAATTATTGGATACTCAAAAAGGTGAGATCGGGTAGATTTATAATGAAATGTCGGTGTGACATTTAGTGCCCTGCAGCCCACCTTAAGTTTACGCTTGCACCTTCAACCGTTGTTGTTAATCAATGCAAAAAACGAGCTCTCCTATTGGTACTACAGGGCCGGTTGAAAAGTCATGCCTATATATATACCGGATTGTCAAAGTGTAGTTGAGCAACGCGTGCAGTCTGTTCGAGTGGTGTATTATTTTGCAGTTGTTGTGTGTGCGTGTTCGTCTGTATGTGTATCTATGTGTCACCAATTCTGCCGTTCAATAAATTCAATCAATTCTGCTATTTAAAAAATTCGTCGACTCTGGGCGAATGCACTCGTCAATTTTTATTTTTTTACCACCAAAAATAACTCCCAGAAATCGCCTCAAAAACCTTGTGAAGGCAGTAAAAATTTACTCTCTCGATACCCGCTCAAAACCTCAAGGGTGTAAATAATTACTACTCTCCCTACGTTCAAAAACTCAGTTAGCACGAGAGTAAATTTTTACCTCGATAGTAGGTGGTAAAAAAAAAACCCAGGAAAGGTAGTGCGTGAGAGGACAAATGGTTTACCCAGTTTTTGAGGTTATTTCAGGTCATTTTCGTTTAGTGTGTAGGTCTTCGTAAATGTCTTTGAGGTAAATAGCCATTTTACTGAAGTGTGTACTTGAAGAGTTGGTGGGTTCTGCAACCTCGGACTTTTTAAGTGAACTCATTGAGCGATGCGCCGAGGCTATTCGTCACACATGCAGTTTTTTACCGGAACCGAGAGCGATCGACAGGGTCCAGGCCGAGATCCGGCCAAAATATGAATCGTGAGTAACCCTTCTGCAACACTGAGATGCCTTTCACTCCGGCTAATGTTTACATAAGCTGCTTCAAAACAGCGATGGAAAAAGAATGGTTCCTACACGCAGCGTTGTTACGAGTACTTGTTTCTTATGTTCAGCACCGATAGCCATGCATTCAAATATGATAGCGAAGAAACATCTGCACACTTTACCAATTCCTTTGCGCAATGTAGCACTTGCTCGTTAATGCAGCGTTGACGAATCTTCGTATGCAAAGCTCGCTTGTGAAGCTCGCGTGCTGGAAATAAAGCTACTTATTATTCGCGAATGCCGTCTGCAACGTGTGCCACAACGCCGAGCTCATTGGCGTTTAGCTTCGCCCCGTATTCGACGCTTTGATCTTCGCTTGAGTTGGTGATGATGGGGTCGAAGTCAAAGTGCCCAGCGTACGCGACGCCGAGAGTGCTTCTGCTGCTATGCTCTGTTTCACCACTTCGGTTCAGCACTACCAAAGTGACGGGGTGTATGAAAGCCACACGCTTGCGCCGCAAGACATAATCACACATGCAAGTGCCTTAAAATTAACAGGATTGGTTACAACTTCCCCGTCCTTTGGTGTGTTTTATGCTACTTCGATACATGATATGTTTATTCTTCTTCGTATTTACTTGTTACGCAAATAAATATATGTGTCAGCTACCCCAGATTGCCGTGCTTACAAAACAACTTGGCATCATCTATGCACAAGTGATTTCCCACTTCGATCTGGACTTTCTATTGCTACACGTCCACTGCGCTGACAGAAATAAAAAATGATAAAATCTGCCGTCGATTTGTTTCATTTCACTCTGGGACTAAAGTATCAGATACGTCTTGTTGATACTAACAATATATGTTACTTTCTTTGCAGCACCTTACACACCGGACAATTGTTCGGACAATATTTGAGTGTAGCGTCGTGTACAAAATTGCAAGAAGAAGTAGTTAACAGGAAATAGGTGCTCGTTTCCTGTGAAGGAAAGGGGGCTCTTATCTGACGTGAGTGTCAACGTTATGTCACACTATAGCCCCGTTTTCGGTATCAGTGTGTTTGCTGCGTTTGGTTTAGCCCACCATATGTGCACTACATGTGCACAGCTAATCAAGCTACGAAAAAGAGCCACCGCACCTGGCAACGGTTCACTCAAAATAAAACAACTGTGGCATTCGCTGCTGCTCGCTTACTGATTTGCTTGACATCCTTTCAAATAATGCCTAGGACCAGCCATAAACTTTGCAACAAGGAAAAATACTTACGAGGGTGACTGTATGTGGATATAAGGTTGAGGAATATTTTAAAGACTCCACAGTGAAATCCTGGGTCGGCATAGAGTAACTGCTCGATGCGTTTCCCCATGATGCCTGCAGGAAATAAAACATCTTCCCTCTGGAAAATATATTCCTCTGAAATATACACTGTATTGGGAACATACTGCGGTAACAGGTTGCCATGTTCGCTACTTTTGCGCAAATTTCACTATTTCATGCGCTCGTAGCGGCAGCGAATCATCTTGGCTACTCTGTATTTTGCGGCTCGTTGTTCAATGAACAACTCGTTGAAGAAAAAATATAATGATATGTAGTGATATTGCAGCTACTAGTGTTGAAACATTCAGCGTCAAAAGAGTAGCCCAGACATATTTTCATCTCCTAAAATACAATACCGCATTTTCTTTGCACAGAACAACACGATTTTAGACACATGACCAGTATACATGGTAAAAAATCTAGCATGGTACCTAATTTTGGGCCAATGCAGTGTTGAACGCGTATTTTAGAATAACTGAATGTATGAATTCTTCAGTAATCAAATGAGGGTTATAAAACATGGAACTGAGCAGTATACTTGCTTATTGAGAGTTTTGTACTCACTGGCTCTGTTAACTCGATATCCGACAAATTTGTTGCGTCTCCCGTTATAATTAGTCGTCTCGTGCAATGAGCATTTAGGCAGCTACATTAACGTTTGAATCAAAGAAACTTTTCGGCGAATCATTATTGGCCTGACTTAATGCATGGGAGGACAAAGGGCTCGAACTTGTTCTGTCGATCAATCCATATCTTTTGCTTTATAGCTGCAAAACCCTTACTCTTCTGCTCACCTAAGTTTCTGTCTTGCCCTCACCCGTCTGCTTCGTCATGCAATCCAGTCTGGTATTCTTGATGACCAGTGGTTTTTTTCCTACGTGCTGTGTTAGCATGCCTAGCCCATATTTTCACGTTTTTTTACCAAAATCTTTTTGAAACCCTTTGGTCAATGACCACTTAATGCCCCTGTAGCTTGCACGTTTTCTATTCAACTGATCGTGACGTTGTCCTAAATTTAGGCCACTGGTTGCTGCTCCGTAGGCTAGTAGCAGTATGATGCAGCTTTTGTATACATTTCTCTTGAGCAATCGATCATTTACGATTTGAGAACGCGTGCTGAATATACTCCGCCTAATAGTTGTTATTCTAACTACTGCACTCCTACATTTCTGTGGTACCACGGAACTCATACAGTTCCGCGGTATCACTACTCCTGAGTAAATGTATTACTTTAACACCATTTTCACTCGGCAATCATTGCTGTGTTAGAAAACGCTCGAGAATGTTTGCGAAAAAGACAAGAAAATCAGAATATGAACTGCGAGAACTTTAGGTTGAGCTGAAATATGAGAAAAAGATACAGATTAAAAAAGAAAAAGATATACAGAAGAAAAAACAGGAAGAGAAAGAAACTGTGAAATACAGAGGAAAAGAAGACGCGAAGAATTGAGAGAAAGTAACAGAAAGGAGGAGATAAAAACTAAGATATAACGAGGAAGAAATCGAAAAGTAAACGGAGGAGGAAAGGAATAGACTAAAGCAGACAGGAAAAGCAGAAAAATCACGATGTGAATAAAGCAAAGGACAGAGCAGAAATGAAAGAGCAAAAATAAATAGAAACAAAAAGTTGCTCCACTCAGCACTTCCGTAAGGCTTGCGAACCAAGACTCGCGAACAAACTGCCGTGATGTTTTAAGCAGGCGTTCTGTCACACATTGTGAGAAATTCGCAATGAATGATGTTATTGTGTGAAGTTCATAAAGAAGCCATTCTCGCGATTATGCATGAAAAATGTCTACCGTGTTCTATGCTTCTCTCTCCGCAGATATGATAAGGAAAAAGCAGTCAGAATATAAATTTGGAGAATAGCGATAAGAATACATGACAGGCATTTTTATAGCTGTAGACTTAAAAAAAATTTCGTGAAAGGTGACAGTCCACTCGTATCGTAGGATTATCCTACCATCCTACGTTGGCTGCGCTTCACACGCCAACACCAGCAAATCTGAGTGTACTTGGCATACACGAAGTGTTTGTTAGACTATATCGCAGGTAGTCTGTAAATTATGCCATATTAATTTTAAGAGCAGCTGCTAGGTAAATAATAATATTGTAAAGGGGTTGGTGGCATATGTACGATATATATTTAAGAATAAAAGCGCAGGCAAAAGTCACGATGGCTGATCGACACACTCGCGAACCTGTCAGCTTTTTCTGCCTTTCGTTTTTCTTCACTTAATCGCTGTAACAAGACCCCCAGGCGTTGGAGTGCCGTCTCGGACTTAGCCTGCAGAAGTGCGAGAGAACAAGGGCTTCATGCGCGAGACATGTACAATGTCAGCTGGTGACAATCTTGGTGACGTATCAGAGTCAATGGCGCTAGCTCGTAGTTCACGTCGCTAACTTGACGTAAGGCTAAATAGGATCCTACGAAGCGGGACTAGAGTTTTTCAGAGACCTATACTGCGACACGGTGATCAGATGAGCCCGCGATTACCTGGAGCAAACGTTATATTACGATACCGGGGGTCGTAGGGGGCTTTTTGGATATCCTGTCATCCGGAGAGACAAGACTGGGCAACATGAGGAGCCATGTGAGCCCGATCATTGACTTCGCGAGCGTACACGAAAGCAGATGGCGCGAGATGCAAGGTGGTTTCAAATGGCAATATGGGGTTGCGATCATACAAAAAATAAAAAGTTGAAAATTCCGCCGTTTCATGTGGAGAGGAATAATATGAGAAAGCCACATTGGCCAACGTGGTGTCCCAGTCTGGATGATTTTGGGAGACGTACATCGAAAGCATCTCTATGAGCTTGCAGTTGACACGTTCATTTAGGCCGTTAGTTTGTGGGTAGTAGGTAGAAGATAGCTTGTGCTCAATAGGCCACCCTGAACTGTAAATTATTATAAGTAGAGCTGTGCAAGTAGCAAAGTTTTGATGATGAAGCAACAGTAAAAGCATGGCCCAGAATGGTAATACGAAGCCGGCCGAATGAACATTTCTTAAAATTCAGCTCTAGCCCAGCTGAATGAAGACTGCAAGAATTGCAGCGAAATGGGACAGGTGGCTGTCGAAAGTAGATGAAAAGAATATCACATTGCCTAGGCAGCAGAGACAAGTACACCCCTTATAACCACACAGGAGAAGGTCCATCATTCGTTCGAATGTCGCAAGGGTGGTACATAGTTCGAAAGACATGACCCCAAACTGGTATAAATCATCAGGCGTAATGAGGGCCGCCTTCTCGCTGTCCATTTCATCGGCAAAAATCTGCCAGTAGCCATACGGAAGATAAATAGACGAGAAGTATGTAGCTCCGTGCAGGCAGACTAACGCATCATCAATGCGTGGTAGCGGTGATACCGATGTAGGTGGCTGGTGACGTGACAGCCGCACATGCTGAAGAGAGCACAGGCGTGGTGGGGCAGTGTAGGTTTCAGCGACTCTCTGAGGCAGCTCTAGCTGAAGGACGCTGGTAGCACAATCGATAAAAGCGGAATGATTCGACAAGAAGGCCAGGCCTAGGATAACATCATAGGGGCAGTTGTCAATCTCGGCTAAAATGACAGCAGTAGTGTGGTCGACTATACCTTATCGGGCAGTGCACAAACTGACAACCATCGGCATGTCGCCATCGGCCACACAAAGCAATTGGTCAGCTGCTGTATGGTGTCAGAGCTATCTTTAAACGTGTGCGTAGGCTTGAACTCATGACCGAAATGCTTGCGCCGTTGTCGATAAGTGCTTGCACATGTACGCCATCTACTTTAACGGCTATTACACTTCATCTGGTGGGAACAGAGAGATTTTCTGCAGAAATCGTCAATGAAGCACCACCTTCGTTGGCCGATTTCTCAGATTTCCGAGACAGTGTGGCCGGAAGCCACAGGGGACGAGAAGCGCCATGGCTGTGGGGAACGGGATCATGGTTGACGTGTTTGCGGTGAACAAGACTTGTGCCTACATGGTGCAGGCGAGCGGCTGTCCAAGTGTTCCGAGAATAGTCAGCGGCATTGGACACATGGACAGCTGAAAAGTTATGCGCAGTACCATTGACACGGGTTGTATTGGTCGTCACACGGAATGCCGGAGACCATGCATGTGTTGCGGCAGTAACGAGAAATACGGCTAACGCGGTAGCACCTAAAACATATGGGGAGGTCATTCGTAGTTCGCCACTCAGCTTGGATGCGAGTGCGTGGAGGAGAGCGTCGCGTAGAGAAGGCAATCGCAAAAGGGCGTTCGTTGACACTGCGTGCGGTGACGGGACACACGGAATGCACTCCGATGTTTTCAAGCTCCTGGCGCACGATGGCTTGAATAAGAAGTGGCATCAGTGCTGCGCCAATAGAACACTAAGGGCGCCGTTGCGTCCTGTTTTCGACGAACGGTGCATGTCAGGTCTTCCGGCGGCAGTAAACGTCGTGGTGCGGATTGGTCTTCGCAAGTCGACGTTGCGCTGGTGTTTGAAAGTCTCGCGAATGGTTAAAGGATGTCGTTACTTTTCACTTGTTCGAACTGTCGACACTCTTAGATGATCGCGCCCATGGTGGAACAGCCCTTGCACGTAAAAAGCTTGAATGAATCATCAGCGATCCGTTTCATCACATGCCCCACATTGTCGCCTTCCGTCATGTCACTGTCGGCCTTCCTCAGAGGGCCATCACGTCTTGAATGTATGAGTGGTATGGTGCCGTCGGGGACTGGGCACGGCAGGCCCATTCCTTTTTGGCGGTGATCTTACGGCTGGCAGGCTTGCCAAATACCTCTCGTATCTTTTATTTGCATTGGCCCCAGCTTGTGAGTTCGTTGTTTTCATACCACACCTCTAATGTGCACCTCAAGTATAACAACACGTTAGACAACTGAAGTGCGGGATTCCATCTGTTCGGCCCACTCACGCATTCAAACATGACCAACCAACTGTCAACGTCGATGTCATCGGTCCCGCAGAATGTACCGGGATCTTTAAATAGCGTGAAAACGTAAAGTGGCGATCCCATGTTGACGTTGACACGGAGAGCTCAAAGTCAGCTATGGCTGGGAAAGTGATGTGACGTCCGCTGCGAAGCTCTGTTGCCTGATGTACTCAGCACCTCTCACCATTATGTTACAGGGTTGGTGTCATATGTACGAAATATATTTACGAGAAAAAGCACAGACAAGAGTCACGATGGCTGATCGACACACTCGCGCACCTGTCAGCTGTATCTGTCCTTCGTCTTCCCTCACTTCATTGCATTAACAATATCGCTAACGTGTGGAAAAATCACACCGTATCCACGAAATGAATCATAAGTAGACGAAATTTGAGAAGGGTAGGTCCAGGTTAAACCACAATGTTTCCGTGAAACGTTAGCCCATTAAATCATTAGAAAGATGCATGACTCTGTGTATAGTAAACAAATCAATTTTATTTTGTTCTTGTCCGGTTGTTAATTTGTTTCCTTGTTTGATCTGGATTGTGAGGCCCTCTCGTTATACGGATTTATCGTCCATGAAAAGAAGGGAGAGAGGCACTAAAACTATGCATGTCCATCGGATTGGGGTAGGTTGCACATGGAAACATCAGTGAGCGCGTATTTGGGAAGCATGTGTTGTACGATGCAGACATTGGCAATGAGGCCCATCCATCCTTGCGTTTATCCATGCATTCATCTGTTCGTGCATCAGTTCATTCATGGTGCGTGCACCAGTTCATTCATGCGTTTGTGCGTCCGTCTGTCCATGAGTCTATATGTCTGTCTGCCTACCTCTCTGCCTGTGTGTGCTTGCCTGTCTGTCGGTTAGTCTGTTTGTCTGTTTGTCTGTCTGTCTATTGGTTCGTTCATCAGTCGATCACTCACACTACCGCCACCTGCTGAGTGAGTCATACAACTAAGGGTTACGAACCGATTTCAAAGAGACTTTTATGGACAGACCCACGGCTTTAAGAGCTTCACTCTTAATACATTGGTTATAACTTATTGGGCATGAACTTTAGCATATCGTTTTTTTATATAATGTCTATTACCAAATGAAAGTTCAGCTAAATAAAAGAACGAGGTATTTGAACCATAAAAGTTCTGCCTCTATACAGTAGCAATATTGTCAACGCCACTTTTAACTGAGAAAATTCTGCCTCTGTCACGGTTTACGTATATACAGAAAATTCCAGCTGACAGTTAGTTGGACGGTCCATAAATTTTACACTGAGTTTGAATTACCTTCCGCCGAGCTTGTCGCCATATAATAAACCCTTGTATCAAATTTGTTGATCGGTCATATTTACATTTATAAAAGTACACCGGGAACTGAATTAATCAAACGCTAAATACATTTAGCTCATTCACCACTTCATTCCTAATAGTCTACGACATAACCTTCTTTGTATATCATCTCCTGCGTTTTAACAGCTAAGTCTAAACAAACCGTTTCTTCAGAGTAGATTGCCGAAAGGTATGATTTTAAGAAGGAAGTGAAATAGGAAAGGGCTTAGCTCCACTACTCACTACTGCTTCAATAAAACTGAAAATGGAAGACAACAGTTCAGTCAGCACACCGAACTGCTGCGAAGCGATGGTGGTGAGCCGAAGACGACAAGTACGTAAAACGTGAGAATACTAAAAGAACCAGAAAGTCAAACAAATCGCAGCATTGAGAAGACCCCGAAGAAAAAAAAAAGCCGTTATTTACTTAAACAGAAATATATGATTTCATCTCTATTCAGGTGATTGTCTATATTGCTCTCAGGCTAATATAAGAAATATTTCAAATAAGTTTTCTTATGTTTGGGAGCGTTGCGCATGGGTGTGTATTTTGATCAAGCGTACGTAGGAAAATAACGGATTTCATTTGTTGGCAGAAAAATAATGTTGTGAATACTAAAACTAATGTGATAAGAACTCATTTAGCAAGTACTCTTAAGCAGAAATGGCTGCCTTGAAATGAATCCTCCTGGCTGATTTTGCAGTGGTTTTTTAGTGGGAAGCGAGTCGAGGTAACAGCGAAAACAAAGCCCTGGTCCTCATTCTCAATATTGATGAATTTTTTCTGAAAGGAAGGTTTTATTGCCAGGGGAACGATTGTAAAGTTAGCTTCTGTAAAAAACGCATAGTTGAAAACATGATTTGTGCTTGCTGAAGACGCCCTACGACAGTTTTTGCGAATTCAGAGCATCGCGCGCACATAAAATAAAGAAAAACATCTTGGTCACAGTAACTTAGCAGCAGAAAACTCGTATTATGATGTCTTGTGGGTGTTACGTTTCACTTTGATATGGGGCGATTTTGAGTATCAATCATAAAAGATCGCAAATGGCATAACATACCTGTGGTTCGGGAAACGATTGTGGTGGGAAAATATACTCAGAATAATAAAACTCTGTGTGATCAAATGTGACCACCTTAGACTAGTGACCGCAATAGTCTTATTGTGCTGCATATCGACTGCGTGTTAATCGAAATATTTTTTCTACACAAAGTCAGGAATAGTATGTCAAGAAATGTGGAGCTGCTAAGTAACAATGATCCAAAGACTAGAAAAAAAAACGCTATAGTTGGTAGTTTTCCACACCCCCTCCTCTTTTCGCCACCTTCGCCTCTCATTATCACCAGTTTTCCTACCATTATGGTTGAAAATGATGAGACCTCGCATAAAATGCCGCATAAAAGTTTCTTTTGACGTAAACATACAGCCTGAACATTTGCGTAAAAAGAGCAGGAGTATGCATTAAAGGTAGAATTGCATTTCTCATGCCAGAACATTGGCGTCAGGTCACTGCAGCCAGCTGAACGCAGTTTTACGAGAAGGGTAGTGAAATGTAAGTACGCTTTCTGACAGCCCCGCTTTCAGTCTTGGCACCACTTCTGCCTCATCGAAAAAACTTTCTCAAAACACTGCATTCTACAATGCAACTTAATCCTATTCTATTTTTATTTAAAGGCGTAAAGTACAGGCACCACTCTCCAGGCTATAAGTTTGTGGATGTGGAACACCCATTTTTTCTTGTCACATACTTTATGCTAAATGAAAAAATAAATAAATAGATAAATTTTTCCGCGAGTCCTGTGAAGTTTCCTGCTCTTCTATTTATTTCTTTTAATTTGACTCTTCTACGTAAATGTCAAGGTATGTACCTTGAGCAACATGAATGTTATTTATAGCAGAAAGACAGTGTAGGAGCGACTAAAGTGAGTTGGATGCATTTGGAGCATCGTAACCTTCTAGAAAAAAAATAATCATCGTTCTTTCACTTAGTTGTATACAAGAAGTTCGATTTTCATAGGCGTTTTAACGTGTTGCAAAGGACTCTTTAGGAATATGTTCGAAGTTAGACACTGTTGATAATACAGAGCCTTCATTAACATATTTGAATAAAGTTATGCATGTGAAGGCCACTAAGCTTATATCAGACATTTAAAAATACCATATGAAAGCTAACGGCTGAATAACGAGAAATAAACATCTTACCTGGTGGGTGGACGATCATTGCGTCAAAGGTTCCTCTAGCGAAAACGCTCACTGATATAAAAGTTCCTTCCAAGGTCTTGTTAACCCTAGGAGTGTTTTAATAGTGTCAGCACAGCATGATGAGTGCTTGATTGCACACGATGATGTCTTACCATTTCTCCCCTTTGCAGTAACTTCTCTTGAAGAAAACGGAACTGTCAGTTTGATTAGCAACCTCGTCGACTTTGCATGTCACAAGCCGTTTTGTTGTCCGCAAGGTATATATTGTCGCATTTGCCGTGTAGAACTGTAAAACACAGAACATTCCTGTTCAAATCAAAATCAGTTATCTGCATTACCATTAGAAGAGCCGGTATGATAATTACGTAGCATAAAAAATTAATAAAGAATCAGATTGATCATGAAACAGTGTTCTGCCACCCGTGTGCTAACTTCTTTCTTAAAGGAGTGCACATTTCACCTTTTACTTGCAGTTTCTTTTTTCACCTAGCTGGGTATACATGCATTTTATGTTACAATGTGAGTAAATATGTTTTCATCGCCACAATACTAAGGAAGCAGAAGAACACTATTTGCTTACTAATAAAATATAATCGTATAAGCTGGGCTGTCCAGAGGGTCTTTTCCTATTCGCGTTCCGTTCTATCGGGTGCATATAAGATGTCATACTACTGCATTCATACATCTCTGTGAGATCGCTTAGAAATCATTCGAAACATACAATAAACAGACACATTGTTGTTTAAACCATTCGCGATTCACATTCTTCTCGTACCTATGGTGATTGGCATAGTGGTATTCCTGCCATGCTAACGTTGTGGGGAAAGTTAATGATGCAAACAAAGCTTTACTGTAGCAATGAACCTCCAACCCATCAACAGGCTATTTCAAACGTTCTTGTTGTTTAGTTTTAATGCGAGCCCTGCCGTGGTGGTGTAAGGGCTAAGGTACACGGCTGCTGACCCACAGGTCGCGGGATCAAATCCCGGCTGCAGCGACTGCATTTTCAATGGAGGCAAGAATGCTGTAAACCCAAGTGCTCAGATTTGGGTGCACTTGAAAGAACCCTAGGTGGCCGAATTTCCGCATGCCTCTACTTCGGCGTCTCTCAAAATCATATGGTGGTTTTGGGACGTTAAACTTCACATATCGATCTATCTTTGTTCTTATGTGAATACAGATGTCAAGACCACAACCATTTGCCAACATACTGGCAGCTTTAACACTTTGTTCAAAATCGCCCTTTTAACAATTTATTACATGACACATCATTGTTGCATTGTTTCATTAGGCAGCACCATATTTCTGGTATACATACGCTATTGATTTTACATACGGTGTGCCAACTCAGTATTGCTTTTGTGATTATAGAGGTAAAGTAGGTAGTCCTGTGACTGAGTTACGCATAATCCACAGCAGGAAAAAACTTGCGTACTAGGCAATAAAAACAATTCGGCAGAACGCACGTACCTGGCAATCGACGGTATGTGAAGCATGCGAAAACGTGTTGCATTTTTTTTATTTAGCAACACGTCATGAAATGATGCTAAATATAATTAAAAGCTTTGCATGCACTGACATACGTTGAAGATTTGCAGATGTTTGTATAACCAGTTGTTTGAACTTGCGCAACGATGCCTACTGGAACACGCGTATTAGCTACACCAAAAACTAATATGAAGCGCTGATGCTTTCGAGGTTGCTGGCCCTGGACACTGCTACATAAATAAACTTCTGTGCATTGCACCTAACCACAATTGATGTTAACCCGGTGTGACGGCTTTGTCAAAGAAGTAGGACTGTAATGTTTTTATTGCTGCCTACCCAATAAAATTGGGTAGGCAGCACTAGAACCACTATTGATGTTTCCAGAAGATTAGCGCCTATTTGAAAAGTAGTATTGAGACCTGGCGGTGCTCTGTGGTACAGTGCTTTATTGCCACGCAGAATGCTTGGGTTTAATTCCAGCTGGTACCCTGACCTTTATTTTTTGCAATAGTCTGGTGTACGCTAGCGATGTCGGATATCTCTGAACGTTTCCGCATTTGCATTGCCCATGTGTGTTCTCGTCGTGCCTGGGTAGATACAAAGTTTCAATCACCTGTGACACATACCCACATACAAGTGGCACATACCTACCCGTAGAAGGTCCCCGTCCTGATTGTAATACTTATATGCATGCCTGGCGGGAAGTGTTTAATGACGTACGCGACGGGATTGTGACGTTATTCATGTCTTCACCAGCGCGTCATATTCGTCAAATAATCTTACGTTCCATGTAAAGTTTGGTTCACGCCAAGTTAAGGGGTTGAACACGAGAGCACCCAAACGTAAGCTGTTAGATAGATAGATATGCTCAAAGTCGTCCAAGTTCGCTAGGAAAAACTTCGCTTCAAGTAGTTGAACGCAATAGGGGGATCCTGTTCCTAGTGCGTACTTCAAACACTTAGTGCATTAAACCTTTTCGAATTGCTATGCACCCACTACGTTGCCTTAAGGAAGTAGGCCCAGTGGCGTGTGGGCCTTTTTTAGTATGGTAGTGGCTTTTAACCATGGAGCCATTAGGATAACCAAATATTCTGACGCCTATTGGCTATGGACCCTTGTACACGCATTATTGGTGCAATATTTCATGCTGCACTGTGAAGCTTGTGCACAGAACGCGTGTGTTTGGGAAGTATGAAAGCTACTTTCGCTGCATTTTCAAGCAGAGGAAGGTGTTTTGACTGTTTTCACAAACAGAGGCATGGCCGTGTGGTACAACATCCGCTGGTCGCGCAAACGACGCGGATTCGATCCGCACTTGGACCGAAACAACACTAGATCGGTTCCCACTCTGCCAACACCGGATCTTTTGCAAAACGAGCTTTTTGACGCTAGCACGTTCATACATGAATATAGTGTACAGTGCGGAAACACATAAACAAATGTTGTGTAGAGAACACGCACAAAGGCCCAGTTGCTACTGACATTTATTCACCCCGGGATCTTTGAATCGCTTTCACTCTCTTGTGACGCTCAATGCGAAGCTGGTGAGCTGCTCTTCACCCACTTGTCTGCGGCGAGTGCCTGATTGACGCTAACTAACAGTCTGCCCTGCTAGAATTAAAAATCATCAGTGAAAAAGCTGAGAAATATAATTTTTGGACAAAGTTTGCAGATTTGCAGATTTTGCATTCAAAGCACGTGCTGTGTCCATGACTTCTGGTGTCGTCTGATAACATCAATGTTTACGCTTGAATGTAGAGCGAGGACGTTATTTATGACTGTAATCTTGCCTTTCTGTGAGTCAAAATAACTATGGTCTGTTGTAGATGACTCGCCATAGTTCTTATACCTTGGTTTCCATGTGTGCGCTGCAGAGCCATAGATGTATACAAGTGGCTGCGTGCATTCGTTTGTGAAGCCTGGTTGCTTGGTTGAATTACGTTGATCGGACTTTAAAGCGTGTCACATATGGCGTGTCACGTCATACAAATAATTTACGTTATCATTCCAGGCAAGAACCTTCACGATATCAAAGTTTTAAGCAGAGACTCTGTATGCGCGTCGTAAATGCCTAAATTTTAAACGGGAAAAGGCTGAGACTACGAGGAGAAATTGAGCGCACGATGGTGATTTGACATATTATGAAAGGCAGTGCCAAGCTCTTTTATGCAACATACTTTTGCAACTTTAAAAATTCGGCACATTCCACGCAGCTTGAGCATTGTAGTTATTTGAAGCATGCGAATTCGAGGTCAATGTGTTTTAACTTTTATTAAGCAAGGCTTTAAGTCGCGCTCATTATATATACAACTCCACTCCCCGACATACGTTAGACAGCCACGTATGTTTCATATTAGCAGTTGTTTAGAGTTGCATAACGATGCCAACAGCAACATGAATATTAGCAACACTAGAAGCGGTAAGCCAATAAGAAGCGGTGGTGTTTGTGCTGGGGATCACAAGCATGGTAGGCCTCAACACTGCTACACAAATCAACATTAGCAGATGACATTTAACTACAGTTCACGTTAACTTAACATGACAGCTGTATCATAGGAGTATATTTGTAATGTTAATAAAATTTGATAGCCAGATTTGACCACAATTGAAATTTCCCAACATTAGCGTCTATTTGCAAAGTATTTCCAAGACCTTGCGTTGCTCTGTGATCGATTACTTGATTGCAACGCAGGATGCTGGGGTTCAATTTCTACTGTGACACTGACATCTATTATTTTCATCCGGCCAATGCTGGCGATGTCAGCTTTTTCCTGATGCCATTTTTGTGCCACATAGCCGCATACGAGTCGCAGATACCCACCCTCGTCTATGTGACACTGTTTCTTGGAAAGTGCTTGATGACCTACGCGAAGAGATTGTGACAGCATTCATGTTAAAACCAATGCGTCATATTCGTCAAGCCATCTTACGCTCCCACAGTAATTTCGGTGTAGTTCATGTTAAGGGGGTGATCATAAGAGCACGCAGACATAAGCGGACGGATGGACGGATGGAGAGACAGACATACGGACGGACGGACGGACGGGTGGATAGATAGATAGATAGATAGATAGATAGATAGATAGATAGATAGATAGATAGATGCCAAAAATGCTCGCAGTACACGAAAAATTCTTCGCAATAATTAAATAGCCATTTTTCTTGTTCATGGTCCTCTAATACCAGCGTCACACGGGCACTTTTAATTGCGATCAGGGCAATTCAGATCCGTTTTATTGATCGTGATGAAGTTTATGACCGCTGCTATACGGTCAAAGCTAATCCTGTTCGAGCTTGGTTGGGTCAGATAAAATACAGCAGGTGGCGCTTGCGAGCCGCAAAACAGGGTAATACAAGATAAGGCAAGATATAACTGCTCAATTAGAGTAAGTGAGTGAATTCCAATAGAAAGCAAACGTGCGAGGAGAATAAAGAAAAGGGGGGACGTGAATGAGCACAAGTACGCGGGTATTATGTGCCAGCGGTCAGCGCAGAACCGTGTTTGTTGACGGATTATGAGAGAGGCTTTCGGCCAGCTCTGGGTGTAAGCAGGCTGATAATGCTGATTACCAGATTCAAATGAAAAACGAAAAGTGGAGCTTGTTGCGCAAGTGTTCAGAGCTATACAGAGCGTGCCAACCTGCCATCATCACTGACAGCCATGCATTTCTTATCCGGCAGCTCTGCGCCATCAAAAGCACAAATGTTACTCAGGAGCGATCAACCGCATGATCTTATTTATCTTTAATCATAGCCTAATCACGCATTCCCCTAACAACTATTTATATAATTGGATGTATAACGAAATTAAATAGAAGTATTATAAACTCTACGCGTCACTTTTCAATGCGTGTAACGTTCGAAGTAACCTGTTTTCCATGCATTGTTCTTTTTTATTTAGCAATTTGTTAGGTAAGTTTATTCTGTGATCCCAGTTTTATTACGATTATATTAGCTGCTCTTGATTCAATATAATGAGTGAACATTTCCTAGAGAGAGAGAAGAGACGTAGCAGAGGTAGGGAGCTTAACTAAACTATGCGTCCAGTTTGTTACCCTACACATGGGGAGAGGGAGAGGGGAGAAAAACAAGAGAGAGAAGGATAGACACATGTCACATCACACACACAATGCCGACTTTCACAGACGGTCTCTCAATGAAGTTGCTGTCCAGTATCTCAGGAGGGCTCGTGTGGCTTTCTGGGCTGATGTGCTGCGCGACCAGGCTCCTAAGATCTTTGCTTCATTAAATGGCCGGTCATCAGTCTATTCAAGGCACACCGGAGAGTCCGGTGATCTTCATCAAGTTGGGCACAGTGGCACAAGAGATGTTCAATAGTCTCTATAAACGTGCAGCTTTCACACATGGATGAATCTGCCATGCCAATGCGGCGGTTGAATGACTTAGGAAGCGCTACCCAAGTCCACAGCCGGCACAGGATTGTAGCGTCCCGTCGAGTAATCTTGGATGGCAGTTGTTTCTGGAGTAATGGCTTAAAGTTCTTAGGGCGATGATTGGAGTTAAGTGGAGAATTTCAGTGCGCAAGCGTGGCATTATGCGCGATGTGACGAAGTTCTCTAGCTGCGTCTACTCTTGAAAAGGGTATTAACAGTGCGGGCACACCATCGTGGGCACATCGGGCAGCGTCGTCGGCGAGGTGGTTACCACTGATGCCACGGTGGCCCGGCAACCATTGTAAAACAATGTCGTGTCCTTGATCAGCGGCGCGATGACAAATTTCATTCATACGATACACCATCTGGTAGTAGTTTTCACATCGTAGACTTCGCACGCATTGAAGGGCTGCCTTGGAGTCGCCGAATATGGCCCGTCTTCTAGGAGATTCTTGCGCAACAATCTACACAGCGGATCGAAGAGCGGTGAGCTCGGATCCCGTAGATGTCGTGACGTGTGATGTCTCGAATTTGACGGTAATTGATCGAGATGGTATGACAAAGGCATCTGTCGAACTTCCCGAGAACGAACCGTCCGTGTAAACATGAATTCGGTTAGCATACGACAAATGCCAAAGGTCTAGTGAGATATGTTTGAGGGCTGCAGATGACAGGTTTGCCTTTTTAGATATCTCCGGCACTTCAAGGTGCACAGTGTGTTTTTTCATGTGGCACTCTGGAGATAGATAAGGTATGGTTGCGGGCGAGAATCTCCATGAGATGAAGTTCTGGTTAGCCGCAACAACTTTGGAAAACGCTGCCTTTGGTCTTTCTAGTGGCAAGCTAGCAAGGTGGTAGTTAGGCACTCTGGATATGGGACGGATATGTGTCCAGAGTGTGTCGACAGTTATATATGTCGTTATGGGATGGTATTTAGCAATACCAACTGTTGCTAACGCATTAGCGCACCGAGGTAGCCCAAGCATGTGCGGAGGACTTGGCCTTGAGTGCTTTGCAGGACCCTGATGTTAGTTTTTCCGGCGTTGGAAAGCACGGGCGTGCTATACCGCAAATTTCCCAAGAAGAGCGCTCTGTACAGCTGAAGCATAGACGACAGTGATGTGCCCCACGTTTTACCAGCGAGAAATCTCATCACGTGTGTTATAGAGCTGAGCCTCTTCTTCAAGTGCGAGATGTGAGCACTCCACGAGAGATCTCTGTCGATAATGACGCCCAGGAATCGGTGACGTCTCATATACGAAAGGTTCACGTTGTCGATGGAAACAGGATAATAGATTATGGGCTTGCGGGTAAAAGGGACTAAGGCGCACTTCTCGGTGGAAATTGTGAGGCCTCGAGCATGGAGGTACGTCGACTTTATTCTCACTGCTTTTTTGGAGCCGTGCGCGTACCTGGGGTTGTGTCACTGCTGAAGCCCAGATACATATATCATCAGCGTATGTAGAGAGATTGACTGATCGAGGTAGACTTTGTACAAGGCCAATGATCGTGAGGTTAAACAGGGTAATACAAGATAAGGCAAGATATAAGTGCTCAATTAGAGTAAGTGAGTAAATTCCAATAGAAAGCAAACGTGCGAGGAGAATAAACAAAAGGGGGGACGTGAATGAGCACAAGTACGCGGGTATTATGTGCCAGCCGTCAGCAGAGGACCCTGTTTCCTGGATCCACCGATGGGGGGGCGTGTGGGCTACGTGAAGATATAAGTACAGTTCGTTGTTCAAAATAAACCAGTTGTTGCGCCCGTGTTGTTTGCCTCTTTTCCTTGTGTCCGTGTACGTGTTTGCGCAAAGAAGTCATGAATGAGTACCAACTCGCCCAACTTTCAGTACTGTTGTTAAACAGCGTAGGCCTACAAACACCGCCTTGTGGAACGCCACGAGTGGTGTAATGATCAATGGTGCGGCCTTCCGCAGTAAGCACGAGGACGATCTCCTCTGTAGGTAGCTCCGAATCCATCGAAACATTTCTCCACCGATTCCAATGTTTGCCAAGGCATCTAGGATGGCATCGTGCGTTACGTTGTCGTATGCACCTTTTACATCTAGGAACAATGCAACCGAGATGCGCTTGAGGTATTTGTATTGTTGCACAGAGATTAATTTTGGCATAACAGCGCGGTGAAACTACAAACGTTATCTATAAAATTACCATGACCCATACACTTCGAGAACAGAATGACAGGCTCAAACGCGCTTCACTCAGCCACTAGATAAGTCATGGCTTAATATATAACGCTTCCATATCTGTATTTTCCTTCTCTTAATAATATGTGGGGCTGTGACACTGACATCAGTATACAACACTGATTATATATGAGTTAAGACAGGAGGACACTGCAAATGTGCAAATGGTTATTTTCGCATGTTTACGTATTACATTTTCAGGAATTTGATGTCCAGTGATTGCGCCGACAGAATCCCTATGTGCGAGACCGCGAAGCAGAAGCGCTCCATGAAGCTGCGCGACGCCGCCGCCAAGATCCCAGCGTTCGAGTACGAGAGGCCCAAGCGTCACGGCAACGGCGCGAGGACCCTGCCGTACATATACACACACAGTGTTTCTCACGTCTTTCTTGGTGATGTCGTGGGCGAACGTTCACTGAACAGTCACGATTTTACCGATGATTTCCCCTCAGGAGCTTCGCCCACTCATCATCATTCACCCCGTGGATATGCTGTGAATTTTTTTGTACAACAAATGTATGCCTCATCGATAATGGAATACCAATTTATACATTTTTCATGTATCGATATTGGTTTGTTCAAACTACATAACAATTTTGGCAAACATCAAAAGAGAGATTTCTTATCGTTCTTATATTCGTGCGAGCCTGGTGGCACACATGTCACCACCCAGTTATAAAAGGGGTGCTCATAGCATACCATATGATGTTCTACAGGCCCCTTAAGTTAAGGTATACGAGCTCATTTACTTGAGTAGATGTATTTGTTTTGGTAGAGATAGGTGACAAAAGTGTTTATGCAGTCTCGGTAAAAAAACCTAACACGCCGTGAAGAGGCATCAGCATGCATTCTACGTGAATGCCTCTGCTAATTTCGGCACAGGTTGCTTCACGTATTCTATATAAAGATATTTGTGCAGAATTCTCTGCTGAAGATCAAGGTGCGTCGCGTTGTTGGGAAACGACAGCTCACCTTTGTAATATCTGGCACCGTCTTAGGAAAATCAGGAAAATAACTAGTTCCGGCGCATTTTACCGATACTGTAAGGGCTACAATAGTCAAGACAGCTAAAATGCATTGATTTATCATGTCTAAGACATCAAACTTAACGTGTTCCTTGCTTCGCGAGTTCTTCAGTAATATTTCTACCGCGCTCAAAGCGCTGTTCATATATCTTCATGTTATATTTATCCATATAAGAACAGTGTTTCACGACGATAGACCACCTGGACAATGTGTGGACGAGCCTCTTCCTTGGATTGTTATGCATCAGTTTAAGGACAATGAATACAAAAATAGTGCTAGCGATACTTTATAGAAGAACACTTCAAACAATCCCCACGCAATCGCAACTACGCTGTGATGGTTTCATAACAATAAAATAACACAGAAAACATGTAAAACGTGCGTTGTGAATGCATACAAGGGCGCGCGAGGGTACTTTCTTTCGTCCACGTTTTCTGCACACTTCCATCTGCCTTCTACATTTATTGAATACAAGCTAAACTTCTCAATTGTTTGAGGAACGTTGCGTTTCGCTTTGCTTCATGGCGTAAAGCGTTATCCATTGACTCATGCTATAAAGGGCACGTAATGCACGTATCCTCAGAACTTCTGACACGTCAGAATACCTAACGCGAGCCTATAATCTACATAACACAGGTCATTAGTATCTTTCACTCGACTAAAAGTAAAGTTTCGTTGGATGAACATTGCAAATGACCGTGTGCGGTGCGTTATAAACTTGCGTTAAAGATTTCGTTGCGGCAAAAAAGCTAAAATTATGTTGAATTGCTGTTTTATTGAATGTAGCTATAACCACTTGAGCCTCCGCGCTGACCATATGCAATGTTTAGTAATGACAATAAAAACAAAGACAAAAACAAAGATAGCCATGCCTAACAGGGTTCATGTGGCGCTTTCTGTTGGCGTTGTGCCGAAGTTATTGGATTGTGGCATCGAATTGCATTGCTTCATCGAGGGCGAAAGTTTGCTGGCCACCGCCCAACTCAATCTCATCGGCATAATTGAATTTACTGATGAAACAGCGCAAATAGCTGCGTTGTACGGGCAAACATCGGGCCTTCGCGGCGGACCGAATTAGGTTTACTTCAAGTTGGAGAAACTGTCCAGCCAGCCCCAGGTTGAAGAAAGTACCTAAACATGTTTAGCGGTCCTTTCTAAAAGCAGCAAGCTCTTGTGCAGTGCATGGCTTCAATACTACAAGCAAGACCTCAATGGTTTTCAAGGTAGCTCTGCGATGCGAGTCTGCGACTCGTGTCACCGATTGCATGTATTTCATGGAGTTTCACTGGCCCGTCAGAAGGTTAATGCGCACTCTTTCACTTGAATACAGAACGGAGCTATGCAGGGTCAATATATCGTTGAGATAAGGTAAATCATAGTTTGGCATGTAATAGGATGGCTTTTCTCTTTTTTTCGCATATCCGTGTTACTAAATTTTAATGAATATGATTTTGTTATTCCGAATATTTTCCTATTAGGATTGACAATATTTTTTGTTTGAAACTTACAGGCACACTACGGACGCTACGCACGCACCAACAGGTAGAGCCTGGTTGAACTCCATCCTACCCTTAAATAAACGTCAGTCTTGTGACCCTGGTGAAATTATAAATATAAAACTCTTAGATATATACAACAAATAATTTTTAATTACTCAGGTAGCTTGTTGGATGTAAACGATCATATATAAAGTGGAATGTTGATAAATGTGTTACTCGAAAGCAAGCCTGTTCGAACATAAGATGCGCAGCACTGTGTCGGAAAAGAACTGAAAAAAACTATGCCATGCAGCCGCAAGTCGAACGCTCCGAAAATTAGAACAAGGCTTTTCCAGCTCCTCCTAAATTTCTGGCGAATTGAAGCACGTTAAATGTCTGCGGGAACACAGCACCATTTGTAGGCACCGCAGAGAAAACGTAGTGACAACGACTGTGCACTTGTTCATTTTAAATAAATTTCAGGTTTCACTACTACAGTTCACACGAAAAAAATCATTCCCAGTTATATGCAACAGAAATCCACTAGAGCATCTAGGTAAAATTCTAGGGTAGCGCTACAAACCACGTGGATTCCAAGTGTCTATATTATTTTCCAATAAAACCCTTCAGGTTTTCTGCAGGCGGTCTTTGAATTGTGCTGCGAAGCCGGACGTGCTGTAGTGCAATGCGGCGACCTTACAAAGATCTTCCACTGTGTCTCTGCTGCATATAAGTGGGAGTAGCTTTTGATGAAGTGTGTTATTGTGTGTGTGCACAACGCTGCTGCTTCGCACTTCATCTGGGTTCATTTAAGGAAGATGTTATTATTTGTTGCACAGCTAGGACAGTGAAACACGCAATTTCTTACCAATATATGCTGATTTTGAAACATCGAAGCTGTGAAATATGCAACAAAATGGCACGCGAGGCTTACTTGAAGCTTCCCGAAAGGTTGACATGAATCAACAGGGCTTGTTACCGATCTAGTTGCTTCATACTTAAGGAAGATATGGACACGGCGTGGTGCAAAGCACACAAGGACGATATGAAGCCTGAACTGAAACACAACAGTGCTGTTGTCTCTCTCTTTGTTTCTTCACTTCATCCGCGTAATCTTCCCGCCCTGTCAGTTTTGTTTTCTTTCGGTTGACAAGACACTGAGCAAGCTTCTAAGCCACTTATCAAAACACAAGCAAAGGGCACATAATATACATCTTCGATAGATGCTACAAACATAATAACAAATTTTTCAAGCGTGCATGTTCATGTGAGCAGGTTGGTGTTACATAAATATATCCATTCATTATAATTTCACCCAACTGACACTCGAATGAGTGTAAATCGTCGCGATTGCGTGAATTCGTTCTCGTAGGATCACGCACATGTCGCAATCCCCTTGGGTTCTTGAGAAATACACAGAAGTAAATGCAGTAATGCTGAAAGAGTGAAAGAGTGACAATGTTGCATGTCACTGATCCCGTTATTATGGAGGTGATTGCCGGGTGAATTTTAACGGCTGACGTATCGTCTCTCATAAACGCCCCACAAAAGAGCGAACAATTTAGAGAAGGTCCCTTTGGTGCATCAGTGAACGCCGGTCGTGGTTCATAGACCGAGTCAGAGCCAAGACTTGATAACAAATCCCAAACATATTGTCAGATTAGACGGTACAGACAATGCACAATTATGCACACCTGGCAGTTACCAAGTACATTACAACACACAAGATGTATTCAACATAACGGGCAAAAACAGCAACTCGCGCTACAATGTAGTATAATGAAATAACTCGAACGTTGCTCCAAAGTATATATTGCTTAATTCTTAAAACTAATATTCAATGCTGCTCTTCCAGGAAACGTCCGCACAAAATCCAGCACACAAAATTAATTGCCCCTTGAAAAACAGCAGACCTACGTTTCAACCATATCTCTTCGTTTTTTCTAAAACAGTAAGATACCGCAGAATATTTGTATAGCGAGCACCTCTTCTGTAATAAATGGCACAAAATTTACGCTTAAAATGTTGATTACAACTTACTGAACGTATAAGTCATGAAGGGTGGCAGTACTGTCATCTGTAAGAGTTTTTTATATGCTGAAAATATTAAGCTTTGAGGAACAAGTCGCTCATGGGATAACAGTAAATTTGTCCTCAGTTCATTTGTAGCAGTACGCCAGGATGATTCAGTAACCGCTCGCACGTATTCGCCATTGTTTCGCTTGGACCGTTTCTTAGTAGTTCTCATTGACCTCCTAAATATTATTCACATACAATTGTTTCAGGTGATGCACAATAGTTTCGAGTTGAATATATAGGCTGGGTAACTTACGAATGTAAGCAGCTTAGCTGGAGGAGCAACTCTAATAGCAGCATACGTGGCATTAGTGAAAACGCTGATAATTACGAAAATTTCCTGCAAAGTTGTATTGAACCTACAGGTGTTCGTAGAGTGTCAGCGTAGAAGAATCAATTCCTTATGATAGATAGTAATGTCTTACCATTCATGCCCTAAGCGATATTCCCTCGCCTTACATACGGCCTGGTTCTTACATACGGCCTGGTTGACCACAACATTGAGGTATTTATCGCTTTTACGGAACTTAATCTACGAAATTAGTTCAGCCTATCAGACGCAGAAGAGCACATTCCCAATGATTTCGAACACACGCTTTGGCCGATCTTCCAGCGTCGGTGTGTGCCAAAGTTTCCAGGCACTTCATTCCTTCCTTCCTTGTAACACAAGGGTAGTTCAACCTCCATCCATGTTGCACAGTGCATGAGCTCCCAGCTTTTCGCCTCCGTCTAGGCAAACTGCTAGAAGTCTTCCAGCAATATGAACAAATGCACTGACACTTTGTCATTCATTGTAGTCATGATTGTGTGCTTTTTCGTATTTGTAAGGTCAGTGTAGCATGAAAACTTCACGACAAAAAGTAGCACACAACACTAGACAGGCCTTAATTGCAAGTCACGATTTGAAACTAGGTACGTATTGAAAGCATCAATAAGTTGCTTCTGTCATCTCATATGATTAGGATTCCAGTGTGCTTAAAAAAGCAGAGGTGTCATACGTTCAGTGTAGACTACACTATACCCTTCAAAAGTGGTGCTTCGCGCGCAGTAACGAAAAACATGCTTACATGTCCAGCCTAACTGAAATAGAAAAGGGCGTATGTTATCAAGGAAAAAAAAAGGACATCACAGTTAGGTCGTCCTTTCTTTGCTGTCCGGATTTTTTCTCGATGGTACGTGTCTTTCTTTAGTTTGTTAGACATGTACAGACTAGCTCAAAAAAGTTAGATAATATTGAGTCTTAATGTTAGGTGCGTTGCCACGAAGCGTTCCCTCAGGGATTTCAGTTGTCACGTATGGTAGTTTTTTTATCAAAAAATGCCATCGGTGCATTTCTGCATTATATTTCGCGGGTGTACCATGCCCTGCATTTCTGCGGACGATTCAAAAGGGTAATCATTTTTTGTTAATAAGTCATTATACCTTTCAAATCAAGGTTATGGATGTTGTAGCAGCTTGCCATAAACACAGCTTTTGATTGCAGATACGTCCAGCATTGCCAGACAATTATGAACGCAGTACTTCAAAGGTAAACTGTCTATCGTAACCGTTTCACAGGCTT